AGGGTTAATTGTGCCACGTGGCTGTCACTTATTGGCTCTTATTAATATTATCTAATTAATTACTTAAATAAAGAATTAAAAAAAAATTAGCCACCACCTCCTCTCTCCACCAACCCCGACACCCCTCCCTCTCCCTCACCAGCCCAGCTCCCCCTCCCCGCTGGCGGCCTTGCCCAGCCTCCTCCTCGCCGACCCTCCGAAGCTCCCCCTACCCCTGTCGTCTCTCCTTCCCGTCCTCCTCCCAAACCACCATCCTCTAAATGCACTTCTCTCAACCCATCTTCCCAAAAATCAATCTGCATCTCCCGCCGACCGGAATCCGACCAAAACCCCCCGCCGGCGCTCCTCCCCTTCCCTTAACCGCCGTGCCCGCATCTCCCACAAAAACCCTCCCCTAACCACCGCCCAGCTTCAAACTCACTCCTCTCACCTCCAATCACCAACTCACCAATTCCAATTCCTCCTCACTGCATTTCTTCACCGGAAGCCACCAATCGCAGCAGCCTCGCCTCCTTACTCGCCACTTTTAACTCCCCCCTGTCCCTTGAATTCTCTCGATCAATTCATGTATTAATTTCAAAAACTCCAATTACAAACAATTAAGAGAAGGAGCGACCTGAATGGAGAGCGTGGAGAGTGCTTCAACGGGAAATTTTAAACAGCAATGGAAGAGGTAGCATGCGCAGTGGTCGCCGGCAGTGGAAGATCGAGGTAGCAGTGGTCGTCGTGCACGCATTTCACGGCGGTTTCGTGGGGGGTGGTACTTTCAGCAAGTTAGGCGGCAGTTTTGTGGCGGTTTCATGGTTGTTTCGTGGTGGTTTCGTGGTTGTGGTTTTCGGATAAGGTGCTGGCTGGGGTCGGGGTTGTCGCCGGCCAACTGGGAAGTGGCTGGGGTCGGGATTGTCGCCGGCAGGGGTGGCGGTGGCTTGTATTGGTGGTGTTTAATTTTTATATTATTTTTTAAAATAATTTTTCTAAAGTTAATTAATTAATTAAATAATATTAATTGGAACCAATTACAAACTATCACGTGACACAATTAACGTTAATGACTAACTAAGTTAATGGAAATGACATGTTGTGACATTTATGTTAAACTCAGTGATATTTGGTATATTAGAAAATTTCTTGTGAATTACGGAATAGGGTGAATTACGGAATAACTCAGTGGTATTTGGTGAAAAATCCGAAAAAATAAATAAATAAAACCTAGTAATGAAAGGTACTTAAATCAAACTGGCTTTCTTCAATGGTGATTGTAATAATTAGATAACACCTACTACTCCCTCTGTCCCTATTTTTTGCCCTATTGTCAAAATGTGGGTCAAATTTTGATAACTTTGACCATAAATTCCCATTGTTCTACCAAAGGAAATATAGTCATGTGAGATCTTATTTGATTCATCTCATTATAAACTTAATTAATATCTACTTTTTATAATTTGTACGCATATGAAAATTGAGATATAAATGTTTTAACACATGTCTTGGAGACCGCATAAAGTCAAATGGGGCAAAAATAAAGGGACAGAGGAAGTAATACGTTAAAAAAATAAATAAATAAAATAAAATAAAGCAAAGCTACGTACATGTTTATTATTATTACGGAGTATTTATTTTTTACAAAGCAGATATTTGATTTGAAAATCAAGCGAAAAATATAAACATGTACTTCATAATTGATTCTAGAAGAGATGTAGACCGTTCAATCATCCACAACTTTGGAAATTAACTTATCAACAATTAAAAAAAAAGATTAAAATTTGAAGTTAACTGAGGGAGGGAGATATAAAATAACACCTGCACTACAACATTGTAACAAGTTAAACAATATGCAAAGTACGATTATTGGTCGTGTGCCAACTGTGATCATTTCTTCAGCAGACATAGCCAAAGAAGCCCTTCAAAAGAATAATCTTTCCTTCTCCAACCGGATGGTGTTGGATGGTATCCGTGCACTTGGCCATCATAAAAAATCAATAGTCTGGTTGCCGTAGCATCTCAATGGCGAAACCTCCGCAAGATCTGCAACACACATGTTTTCTCTATCAGCAGACTCGATGCCAGCCAAAGCCTACGAAGAAATAAGGTGAAAGATCTTCTTAAGTTTGTAGAGAAAAGCAGTGAATTCGGTGAAGCAGTGGATATCAGCCAAGCAGCCTTCAGTCCTTCACTACTGCCTTAAATTCGCTAGCAAGCACCTTTTTTTCAGTGGATTTGGGTGATCCCAGCTCCGAGTTTGCTCGTGAATTCAAAAAAACAACACGAGAAATGATAGAAGAATTAGGGAAACCCAATATTGCAGATTATTTCCCTATACTTCAAAACATAGACCCACAGGGCATCAGGAGTCGTATGAGTGTTCATTTTGAGAAGATAATGAGTCTATATCAGACCATGATTGATCAACAACTGCAAGACAATCAGAACTCATTAGGCTCAAAGAGTGATGTTCTTGATTCATTGCTGTGCATCAATCAGGAGAAAACTAAGGAGATTGAATCATCAGATATCCCAAACCTATTACTAGTTCGTCTTCTGCCATTACTATTTCATCTCTTCACTAAAATGACTACTTCTTATTTGGCTTACTCCACAACCTGGATGTTTTTTTTTTTGGCAGGACCTATTTACTGGGGGAACAGACACAACATCAAGCACCCTCGAATGGGCTATGGCTGAGCTACTTAACAATCCAGAAAAGCTGAACAAAGCAAAAGCAGAGCTCCATGAAATCATCGGAAAAGGAAACCCATTAGAGGAACCAGATACTGTCCGGCTCCCATACTTGCAAGCAGTTGTAAAAGAGACCTTACGATTACATCCACCTGTGCCTTTTCTAGTACCCAGAAAAGTAGATTCAGATGCACAACTTTCCAACTTTACAGTGCCAAAAAACGCACAAGTGTTGATCAATGCATGGGCAATTGGGAGAGATCCAAATGCGTGGGAAAACCAAAATTCATTTGAGCCAGAAAGATTTCTGGGATCGCACATTGATTTTAAAGGTCATGATTTTGAGCTGATTCCATTTGGTGCTGGTCGTCGAATCTGTCCTGGATTACCATTGGCAATTCGGATGCTTTATTTGATGTTGGGGTCACTGATAAATGGGTTTGACTGGAAGCTGGAAGGCGGAGTTTCACCTGGGAAGATGAATATGGAGGAGAGATTTGGGATCTCACTGCAGAAAGCTCAGCGACTTCATGCTACTCCAGTATGTGTCTGAATATTAATGTATCATACCAGTTTGCGTTGTAGAGGTAAATAAGGTGTATGCAACCATAAACCTGCAACAGTAAAGAGCTTATTATTGTTAGACCTATCACTTTAGAGTTGATATCATGGTATTAAATAAACTAAGAGTTATAGATATTCCAAATATGAACACTTGATCAACCATCAAAATTAGAAAATCTGACTACTTTAAATGCCGTTCTATATTTAAAGATTCTCAAAAAAAGTCTAAATTACAGGCAAGACTCAAGTCCCTAATACAGATGAATATCTTTATTTATGCTTGATATACAGTTCTACATTTTTTAGAGGATTGTATAGATATATTATTGTTCATCACTGTAAAAATCTAGAGCAGGACAGACCACCAGAATGCTAGTTGAGAAAATCCAGCTATCAATATGATAACTGTCAAATAACTGATACTAATTCATAAAATTCATTTACAGACGTACAGAAGGCACCAAACAGAGTAGACCCTGTTTCAGATTTAACAGAAGGGGTATCTGTTTTCCTATATAGAAGAGCTTCTCCCTAAAGAATACGTCACATTAGTATTTCAGCAATTGCAAATTGATACGCCAACTTTTGATTTAAGCAAGTTAAATAACTTGCTCATAGCCTCATATTGGCCTTAAGGTTACTTTCAGAGTTTCAGCTAAGTAGCTAACCAATCTTATGAGGGACAACTGGGGTGGAGATGTAGAAGAATACAATAGCCATGGTATTTCAACACAATTCTTTCTCACTCAAGTGTGGCCTAATATTTAGGGACAGGTATTTAAGAATAAACAGAGAATCCAAAATAAAAATTAATAATTCCATTAAACAATTTAAATTTACAGCTTCTCAAAATTGGGGGGATTCCTTGCTTAAGCACATAGTGGTGATTCACAAGAACTACAAGCTTGAAAACAAACTTTTTCAGAACCACAGGCTCTACAAGTAAACTATTTTACATCTTGTATTTCACTTTAAGGTTATTTCACAGACAGAAAAGTGAGGTCGAGCCAACACCAAAATGTTTTATCACATGCTGCAATTAAAAAGATTACAGCTTCTAAGGAGTGCCGTCACAAAACACAGCCCAAGCCTTTCAAGTTTCAAGAATATCAAATCACCATCTATTTGCCACTTTAGATGGAACGCAGCCATTGATTAGTCATATGTGTACATATATAATTGCCTTCCCAGTATGTCATTCATCTAGCTTCTTAGTATTTATTTTTTTACCAAAGCTAGATGAATGACGTAGTGAAAAGGCAATTACATAAGTACACAAATAACTCTTAGTATTAGTCTGCAGTTTTGCACAGTGCACCCTCCTGAATGTAGTTGGTTTTGGCATCAATCATCTTCATCACAAGGTTATGTATTTGAGTCTTCACAGTACAACTGTCAGCGATATACACAAAAATTGGATCCGACCCGGTTTAAATTAGGCTGACCCTGGGCTATACCAAGCCAGGCCATCGAACATACCAGAGTAATCCAGATTTTTCCAGGCAATCAGAAAACATAAAATATATACATATATAATTTTGTATTACGTATCAAGCAACCAGCTATTTTAGTGGGAGTTAGTGATTATTTTTTATTTCTTATATAGTTAATTGTCATCTAGTATTGTCTTATCCAGAATGGCCCAACATAGATATTTAAATGAGCCTGCTCCCACTTAATTGATATGCTCCCTCCAACACCACGTGCATTACGTGGTAACTAATCCATCTATCATTTTCACAATACAAACAACTTAGTTGATTGACCTAAAATCCATAAGGACCCCAGATGTGGAGAGTATAAGATTGGCCAACTTATCAAGTACAATGAAATACAGACTGAAATCACAAAATCATGGATTACCTGAGTTTTGTGTTGTATCTTCTTCTAGCATGGATTGCCATCCATCTTGTCCTCTCAAATGCAAAGAAAAGCAGCGATTCACATCCACGGACATTACCACCTGGTCCGCCCACTGTACCTATCTTTGGGAACCTCTTCAGCCTAGGAACCAAACCACATGTCTCCTTAACTGAGCTTTCCAAGAGATACGGCCCTCTCATGACTCTGCAGCTCGGCCAAGTCCCAACAGTAATCATTTCTTCAGCTGACATGGCCAAGGAAGCCCTCCAAAGGAATGATATTTCCTTCTCCAACCGGATGGTTATTGATGCTGTTTGTGCACTCAATCACCACGAAAATTCTATAGTCTGGTCCCCGGTATCAACAAAATGGCGAAACTTTCGCAAAATCTGCAACTCTCATGTTTTCTCCAACAATAAACTTGTTGCAAGCCAAAGCTTTCGGGTAAACCAGGTAAAAGATCTCCTTTCCTATGTACAAAAATGCAGTGAAACCAATACAACAGTGGATATAGGGCAAGCAGCCTTTACCACTATCCTGAATCTGCTATCAAGCACTTTCTTTTCAGTAAATTTGGGTGACCTTAGTTCAGAGTTTACTCATGAATTTAAACAAACAGTACGATGTATAATGGATGAAGCAGGAAAACCAAACTTTGCAGATTATTTCCCAATTCTTAAGAAGATAGACCCACAAGGTATCAGACGGCGTATGAGTGTTCACTTCCAAAAGATGATTGATTTATTCAACTCCATGATTGAGCAAAGGTTGCAGGGCCAGATATCATCAGACACAACACAATCCTACAACTTTCTCGATGCATTGCTAGGCATTAGCCAAGAGAAAACCGAGGAAATCGATCCATCAAAGATCCCAAATCTATTTGTGGTACATACACAATACTTTCTCAGCTGCTCTTTACCTTTAATTATCTTCATTGAAGCATTTCATCAAACACTTCATATGCACCATTTCAAAACCCTTATCCCAATTTTTGTACAAAACGTAAAGTGTCAATTTTATCAGATTTTTTTTTTTTTTTTTTCTTGAAAGCATAACTCTTTCATCAAACACTTTATCTGCAACATTCCAAAAACCTAATCATATTTTCCCAGATTCTTTGAGGCATTTCATCAAAACACATTATCTGCACTAATCCAAAAACCTCAACATCATTTTACAGGACTTATTTGCAGCAGGAACAGATACAACATCAAGCACCATAGAATGGGCAATGGCGGAACTACTCAAAAACCCAGAAAAACTAAAGAAAACACAACAAGAACTCCACCAAACAGTAGGAAAAGAAAACCCAGTAAAAGAATCCGACATCACCCATCTTCCATACTTACAAGCAATCGTAAAAGAAACCCTCAGATTACACCCAGCAGTACCATTTTTAGTACCCAGAAAAGTTGAATCAGATATCAAATTATTCGGGTTTACAGTACCCAAAAACGCTCAAGTTCTGGTGAATGTATGGGCAATCGGGCGAGACCCGGATGTTTGGGAAAGACCCGAATCATTTGAACCAGAAAGATTTGTGGGATCTGAAATTGATGTGAAAGGATGTGATTTTGAGCTGATTCCATTTGGTGCTGGGCGTAGGATTTGTCCTGGGTTGCCATTGGCGATTCGGATAATTCCATTGATTCTGGGTTCGTTGATTCATGGGTTTGATTGGAAGTTAGAAGATGAGGTTTCTTCGGAGAAGATGGATATGGAGGAGAATTTTGCGTTTACTTTGGAGAAAAATCAGAGACTTCGAGTTATTCCGGTTCCTGTGTAAAATGCTTGTGTGTGTTGGGTGAAAAATCCGAAATTGTTTGGCCATAAGCGGGAGATTGTTACACGTACGAAGTTACGTAATGAGTAGGTATGGGTGTGTTCTATTTAGGGGGAGCAAAAATTTAGGTTACTTGTATACCAAGTTCTGGTTGCGGGTAATAAAACTGGGAACTTGTTGCAACAGGTTCAGGTTTCGAGTAATAAAATTTTGGATCCGGAACCTGTAGGGTACCCTGTTAGTTCAGGTTCCTTGTAGGGTCTACGAAATCGGAACTTATTATTAAAGCCCAAATGTAAAAGCCCTATTTCAAAATTGTATAATTAAGTAACCCCCCCCCAAAAAAAAAAACCCTAAGCTCATATATCATTTCTCATTTCCTACACCGGTCGTGACCTACCTCTCTCCCTCCTCTTATTCATTTTTCATCTTAATCTTAAAGGTTTAATTAAAGGTATTAATATAAATATTTGTAATTTTGTATTCTGTATTAAAGTTGTAAGCTTTTATTGTGAACATCCATTTTTTTTTTATTTTGTAACAATATATCAAGTAACTATTAAGCTTACTTGAAAAGACAGGGTACCCTGTTTCGGAACCGGAACCTGTAGGTTCCGATTTCGGTTCCCAATTTTTAGGAACCTGTTGAACAGATTTCGGTTCCTAATCCTATTTTAGGAATCTGTTGCAACAGGTTCCGGTTCTGGGTTGGTACTCTGCTTCGCTCACCCCTAGTTCTATTCACCGATTTTTACTTATCTAAACTAATTTTATCTTATCTAAACTTATTAGATCTTATCAAAATTTACTTTAGTTGTAATTTTACTTGAGTAATCCTTACGAGTATCAAAATTTATTTATCTTGAACTAAACTAATCTGAAGTTATTACTTAATACACCTGAAATAAGTGAAAATAGGGTGAACAGAGCCCTTAGTTGTTTGTATAAATGTATCTAGTAAATAATATTCATATATAATTGAGTAGTTGTTTGATTGCATAAAATAACCAATAACGACATTAATTTAATAATCAATAATGACATTAATTTGATAAAACCCTATGAAAAAGGGTGCTTCCCATCATCCTCTTCTTCTTCCTTTCTTAATAATGGTCACTTCGCGATGAAACAAAAAGACAACATAGTAGCAAAGAGTGTGAAGTAGGGCCATATCAAACCCTAAGGAAAAAACCTTCCTTTCGCGGCGGCATTTTGAACCGCCACAAGCAGGCGATGGTGTGAAGCTTTACTCGCATGGAGGAAGAAGGTATGTTGGCTGATTATATATGGTGGAATGGAGAATGGAGGAAGAAAGGGATGAAAAATACAAAGATGCTCCCAATTAAACAAGTGAAATGACACAATGTTTATTAGACTGATAAACATGTATTTTCTCCTATGTAAATGCTTGCATTGTGTTATTTTTTGGTGAAAAATTCGAAATTGTTTGGCGATTAGTGGGAACACGTACGAAGTTACGTAATGTGTTGGTTGTATTAGTTGTTTGTATAAATGCATCTAGTGAATGATGTTCATAGATAATCGAGTAGTTGTTTGATTACATAAAATAATCAATAACAACATTAATTTGATAAATTGTTGAGAGTGAGGATAGCTCGGTTGATTAGAGCTTCCCTCCCAAATCAAAGTTGTACATTGGCATGTATGCCGGTCAAGTAGTGTTGCAATTGTCCTGAAATGGAGGGAGTAGTGAGAAATAACTATCGTATTGAGTTGGATGTATTAGTTGCTTGTATCTAGTGAATGATATATATTCAAATATTCGTAGATGAAACGAGTAGTTGTTTGATTGCGTAAAATAATCAACCACGACTTTAACTTGATATTTTACAGCAAATTTCATTTTTTTTTTATCAAATTATATTTCTAGTATATTTGGAAAAGATGAGCGGGTATAAAGATTTAGAGTTGAGCAAAAATACAAGGTTACCCAACCGAAATTTACACTTGCTCAGAATCGGGACATGGACAGCTCGGAACTGGGACATGGAGAGCAGGTTTCGATTCCAGGTAATAAAGCTTAGATCTCTTACAACAAGTTCCGATTACCAAATTTTTGGAACCAAATGTTGGAATTTATAACTTTTCCAACCATTTCTATGAAAATCACTCCAGTAATATTTAAAATTTATGTGTTGACAAATGTGAATAATAATATACTCCGTGTAACCATGATTAACTATTACTAGTAAAAAAAAAAAAAAAAAAAGATTATCAAACTCTTTGGCTGGAAACGGCTTCTCCGCAAAAGCTGCAGCAGATCGGGCTCGTTGACGATAAAACCCTTGTCTGAATATCCAATGTGTTGTGGAAGACCAGAGTAAGCGCATTCGATCAAGATTCAGCATTAAGAGAGGGAGGAGCCTGAAAATAAATAGATTATCAGAGTGCAACTAGCCGCATAGCTGTTATTTATTTGGGATACATATAGGAGGGTTAACTGGTAAATTCACATAATTTTTGTAATTTTTTATCGTTACAGTGGTATTATTAATGTACTATTATACATGTATTTTTTACTACTAGAGTTAGATTGTTTTAATAATACTATTTATAGTCATTATAGGTAACAGTGTACAATATTTGATGACAATTTATATACTTATTTGTACCACTAGAAAAATATTTTTCATCACTTTTTTGTCTTATTCATATTATTTATTTGCCATGTAGATATCAGTGTCAATACTTAACTGGATCATCATACTCCATGCTGTAATACTCGTATAAAAAATTAAAAACCGGATCCTCCAAGTTTTCCAAGTGTTACATCCAATGGCTTTAAGAGTGACGCAATTGCATTCCACCACCTCCTTTCTCCTTCCACTCTCTTCTACAAAACTCCACTTTAATCGCTTCAGAAGACCCTTTTGCAACCCTTCCTCTTCAATGTCAACCGAGTCATCAACCCAACTCACTCACACCATCACTCTACCGGGTCAACGCGTCGAAATCGTTGCTGCACCCGGAATCACCCCTTCCGAGTTCAGGTGAGTTTCCCATCAATCAAATATCACCTATGTTATAAAATGTTGATTTTTACTTGCTAATTGATTGGTGAATGTGGGTATTTACAGGAATGCGATTGATTCGTCTTTGTTTCAACAATGGCTGAAAAACTTGCAGGGTGAAAATGGGGCTTTAACTAATGGGGTTATGTCTTTGAACAAAGTTCTTATTCAGGTAGTAATAGTTTCCCAACTTCATATTTTGATCATTATTGCTAATTGTTTGGAATTTAAGTTTTTTCAATTGTTTGAATCTTTACTTGATTGCTCATTTATATGGTACACTTGCTCCATCCATTCTGAATTAATTGTGAGTGTGTCACATCCTCAATTTGATGTATTAATTACTTACTCCCTCCGTTCAAGAATAATTGCAGACACTGTAAGCAACTTCTCATGATTAACCTTACAAAAATATTGTATATTTTTTTTCAAGTGAGAGCATATTTGACAATAGTCCTACTAATTGTGACAATATATCTTCAGACATTTAACTTTTTAAGTAATTCAGGAAAGTATGTAAAGATCATGCTTAGATTTCTCATGACACTGTCTTTATGAATTAGTGAGTGAGAGGGGGTTAGGGGAATAAAACTATTACAAAAATTATTTTAGTAGGTTTATGTAAAATTAGATCATCGAATATTTAGGGTTGTTAATGTAAGACAACTATTTTCATAAGGAAAGGAGCATTTCTTGTTCCTTTTCTTCCTCTCCCTTATGGCATGTGTGATGCTAGTTAGAGATGTGTACTGATAGAGTTAATTGACATGGTATCAGGGAGTGGATTATTTTGGAAAGCGCGTTGGGTTTCTCAAGTTCAAAGCAGATGTTATTGACAAGGAAATGGGAAAAAAGGTATCAATTTTTGATCGATTGTGGAATTCCTAAAAATCTGTTATAGTAAGTGCAAGCTCAAACTGCCCCAAACATTGTATTGGATGTTCAACTACCAATTGCCATTATAGCTTTGGGGAACCTCCAAAATGTGTGTACTTACATACTGAATTGGTTTAGGTTCCTGGCATTGTGTTTGCACGAGGACCAGCTGTAGCCATCCTCATCCTTTTGGAGTCTGAGGGTGAGACTTATGCTGTTCTGACAGAACAGGTATTCCTCTTCTTTGTGTTAAGTAATACTGGCACTGCAAGATGAGATATATTATGTGGATGAAAGAATCCATGCTTTAAGTCTATCACCTACCATTTGATGTTAAGCATTATTGCTACAGATGCTGCTCCAATCTCAGTTCTAATTGATATTTTGTCTGTGCAAGGTTAGGGTCCCTACAGGGCGATTTGTTCTGGAATTGCCGGCTGGAATGTTGGATGATGACAAGGGTGACTTTGTGGGTACCGCGGTTCGTGAGGTCTCTCTTTTGCCTCCTATATCCTTGTCTTTTATATACACTTTGCAGCATAAAAGCAGTAGCTCTCTTCTCAATATTCATCATGTAGAACTGCTATCATTGTCTTGCTGCACATACGACCTATATCTTTATTGCTTGTATTGTTGCTAATTACTCATTTTCAAGTGGAAATTATGGTTAGTAACATCGCATGCTTGATTGTGAGCCTGTATATTGACTAAATTAGATTAATTAGATATATTCATGTTTCTCAATTCTCTTGTTTTATGTGTGTTCTAATGCGGGACTAAAGTTGACTCCTAGAAATGGTTTACTCATAATATAAATCTGTGCGACAGGTTGAAGAAGAAACTGGTATAAACTTGAATAAAGAGGACATGGTTGAGCTTACAGCCTTCTTGGATCCATCAACTGGAGGCAAAGTTTTCCCCTCACCGGTTAGTTAATACTTAATCTTTGTATAAGGGTTTAATGTGTGTTGATTGTTATGAAAGCAGATATGCATAGCTTGAAAGACACATTTAATCTATGTTGCTGACTTGATTTCTTAATGACAGTAGTTTATGACGAGTTTCATAAGATTATTGAATGATCATGTTCATTTATGACCAAATATGAAGTGTTAGCTGTCATTACTTTCTGCTTGTATATAGCCTTGCTCTATAATTTCATTGTTTTATTTTTCATGTTAGGGAGGCTGTGATGAGGAACTCAATGTCTTTCTGTGCCGAAGACAAGTGGGTAAAGAGATCATTCAGCAGCTGCAGGGTAAGAAAACTGGTCTTCAAGATCATGGTGAGATCATAAAAGTGCATGTAGTCCCATATGCTCAACTTTGGCGCTTAACAGCTGATGCGAAAGTTCTCATGGCAATTGCTCTTTATGAAATGGCCAAAAGAGATGGGCTGTTGTCAAACTCTTAACTAGCGACAGGAAACTGTTTACCATTGGTGCCAAGAGTATTCCATGGAGACTTCTACCTTAGTTGCTTCTCAGTCAATGTGTTTAACTTAGACTCAACATACACTCTTGAGGAACAATCAAGGAGTTTTGAAACTTATGCCTCGTGATGTAAACTTCTAAAATGCTGCTATTATCTTCTCTGAAATCTGTCTCATTATCCC